ATTCTTTCCAAGATTAAAGAGCTGCCATTAAGGACTATCCATCTGGAGTGACACTCTTTGCAAAAGAGCTGTCAGCTCTGTAATGATAGCTTAGAAAGGGCGTGCCCTAATATTAATAACCATGTAACTAAGTCATTGAATGCTTCGACTGCTCATGCGGCATCGCTGCTCCAGCCCAGCAAAGAATTTCCATTGGGGCAGCTAAAGTTTCTCACATGTGTATTATCTAGAAACGATTTAAAAAATCTTTGCCCTTGTAGTTCCCGTACATACCTTACCGGACCTTATTTTGACGTTTGAGGCACTAGCCGCCTAGCGTTCATTTTAATGTCCGTTTAAATAAAGGATGTCCGTTTACAGTCCGTCCCAGTCAAAATACGTTGACATTTTTTCCCAAAAGTATTCCACTGCAAACTTTTTGTCCAGGACATATAATTACTATTTGAAGATATTTCATGTTATACAACAGATTTATTTTAACAACTGTGTGTTGCAGTTATGTAGAATTTATTGCAACGTTTCATCCATGACAAAGGTATTTAGCCGAAACGTCGACAACATCTTGTTAATTACACTGAGTGCCGAGTGGAGACTCTCACTTCGTCCCCAATAATCAAATATTATCCACCCAATTACAAGAGCGAAAAGAGATATCTATGATATTGATCTTTATTGAAAATTCTCTACATTGTACTTATTATCAACTTTTAAACATTTCAAGATTCTTAAAAACAAAATTATAAACATTTTGTAATTATTGACAATAAAAGAGACGGATGTATCATGCAAAATTATTCATAACACAATGATATGGTCACTGAAATATATTTTGAACAAACAACTTAACAAAATATCATCTTTATAGCTCAAAGAATAAATCCAAAAAAGTTGATTATTGTACCCATTTTATTTAATATTATACTTATAGCGTAACGACTTAGGTGAGAAAATCTATAAACTGAGGAATTATTCACATTTTACGCAAGGGGGTTTTGAAAAGTTATTTAAATTTCACGCAAATAATAAAGATACCATGCACAAAGAGCTTAAAATAATCCACAGTCCTTGAAATTGTTTCAATACAGCGAACTTATTTTCTTCCGACTCGAGATCTGTAGATAGAGTTTCCGATGTCAATTCCAAGTACTTCTTTTCTGTTCACATCGATTTGCATCAACTTTCCAGGTACCTTTACCCATCTTGTGCCTGTAGGGCTATCTGCAGTCATTCCCTCGCGGTAAAAGATTTCATTTTCACCAGTTACGCCAACAACAAGGTCCGTTCCTGAGCTAATCCATTTCAGTTTTCCTAGAACCTGTATCCAGGTTGTTCCAGCAGTGTCTGCGTCACCGTACGTTCCCACTCGGTAGTAGATATCGTTTGCCAAAGTCACTCCCCACACCCCAGATTCCCCGACACTGATTTGTTTGAGGTTCCCGCCGATACGCTGCCATGAGCCGCCAGTCCTTCTGTAGATGTTCCGTCCTCTGTCCACTCCCCACACGCGATCCTTGTTGCTCACATTTACGTTTGTCAGTTTTCCGGCGATCTGTTGCCATTTGTCGTCTCCCAAGTACTTGTAGATTGCATCGGCTTTGGTGACCCCCCAAACAGATGCCCCAGATGAAACTTGTACCAGTCCACCAGCGATTTGAGTCCAGCTGTTTCCATCATTATTAAGCTGATAGATGTTGCCAGTTCTAGTGACACACCATACTCCTGAGTCTCCTGTCGAGATGCTGTTACATGTTCCAGGAATGTTCTGCCAAACTGAGTGGATTAATTTTTAGGTAAAGGTGGGAAATGAGGCCCCCCCCCCCCTTCCCCTGCACTGGCTTATAAAAAACGGCCAACATTGTAAACAAGGATACAAAATACGTCACGACTTGCCTAAAACAAGTTTTTTCAAATTTATTCAAGTCTACAGTGAACGTTTTATCTAGTGCGAAAACATATACGGATTACTTACTTGGTTGGAGGCTTCTTTCTTCTAGTTCGAGTATTTGACGCCCAGGACGCGGACGCCCATGACGCCCATGATGGGGGTGACGCCCATGATGGGGGTGATGCCCATGACGTCCATGATGCCCATTGACGCCCATTTCTATCAGAAAGCAGACAAGCACTACAATTACACACTTCATATCTATGTTCCTTTAAAATAATGGGGTCAAGTTTAGTATAATAACAGCTTTTAGAGTAATTTGTTTATGCCTCAGTTTCAAAAATATGTGTGCCAAAACTTGGGCTCAATAAGTACCAAACCGAGAAATTTCGACTTATTAGGGAAAAGACTATCCGGGAATAAATTCGTAACAAAAGTTTCTCTTCAGGAATGTGGTTTACATAGTTCCAGGAACCATCTTAAAAATTTGTTGGACTGAAACCGTGGGGAAAAGTTTCTAGAGCAATTTCTATCCAGACGTCATAACTTAATTAAGGAAGATCAGTCATATCTCTCTATAGTGTGTAAAATGACCGCAATTTCCACATGATGGCATACACACGAGGTTTCCAAGTTCATTGTTTAAAATTTAGCCGAGTTATGACCATTTTAAAATATTTGACGAGATCACTGATTGAGTGCAGGGACCACGTATCCAACAGATTTTAATTTTTTTTTAAATGTGTCTAGTTCCTAGCTTAAAGCGTTCTCATTTTATGACGACAAAAGTGAAAAAGAGGGAATGTCTTACCACACCCACACCCACTTTAAACGATAAAATTTTACGAAACTTTCATGAAATCTAAGTTTGACCCATATCTATAATCTCTGAAATTTGTGTGTTAGTCTGACACGAATTACGTGAGTTATTAAAGGGTTGAGATCCCCAGGCAAAGGTCAATTTTGAGATATTTTGATATATTATAACCTGTATTACTACTATACATTTTTTTATCAAGACACTTATTTTACTTCGGTGTATTCCAACAGCCACATTGTTACACAAGTGCAACCAGCCAATTACAGGAAGCCGAAGGATCTTTTTGGCCAGTGACGGTTAAGGTAGTGTGTACCATACTTTCTTCGCCCGAGACTTTGCTGCAATGTGCATCTCCTCATTTAACCCTCACACTCGATTTCTCGAGTATTCGGCTGAGTAGACCGGGGGGCTGCATATACCATTCATGATCCTTAGCTGAACGTCGACGACGCTCACCCCACGACCAGGCAGTCAGTGGGATTCGAACTCGCAACCTAACGATTGTAAGACAGGCGTTCTAACCAACTGCGCTACCTGGCCGCTTAATATTATAATGTAATTATATTTTGAATTAAAACTTCAAACGAAATTTTGTTTAAATATTCTTTAACAGTTTGCAACTTAACACCTCGTAACTTGGCACCAATGTTCGTCAAGGTCTTAACCAAAAGACGATATTTGATTGTTGTTTCAAAATTTGAGATGGAACAGATAAAAGCTCTAGGAGAAGATAGGTTTTAATGGTGGTAAATAAATTTTCAGGAAAGCCAAAAATACTGATTATTGAGAAAATGTGTTAATCTCAATTTATCAGCATATAGTAGATTGATAGCTTTTATGAAACTAAACATTTCAAATGAACTGATCGATAAATATTAACGCTCGAACAGCCTTTAAGTAGTGTAGGTAGCTGTAGCCAGGTTATTACCTGGCTCTAAACAAGTTATTACCTCTTCACACCTCTACATACCTGAACGATAGTTTAGTCAAACTCAACTGGTGATCTGAGACATAATTCTTTCCCAATTATAGCTCCAATTATAAGATTACAAGAATATGTATGTATTTCAACTAACTCACCAGTCCAGATGCTCATATTCAGATTCTGGACTGAAAATCTCTTCTAAGTTCCGCCGGACTAAAAACCTCTCCCATGGGAGCTAAAACCATCCTCCACTGGACTAAACTAAAACAACTCTCTAACTCCAGATGAATAGTCCTCCGTTTCAGCTCTTTAATCTTTGAAAGAATATTAAGTAACGTATATGAAAACCGAACAGATATTAATAATGGATTATTAATCGGAGCTTTCATTGAGAAAGAATTCGGTCTAAGGTCATCGGTTGAGTTTGACTAAACTATCGTCCAGGCTTGTAACGGTGTGAGGAGGTAATAACTTGTTTAGAGCCGCTAATAATGGCTAAAGCAATCTAATATACTTAGACTAGTTACTTAGAGGCTCTCAATCATTATCAATTAATTTGACTAGATTGTCAAGATGTCAAAATGTCCTGGCTCTTTATCATAGGAAATACGGACATCAACTCATGAGTTGGTTAAGGTACGTTTTCCAATCGGAGCATTATTAATATTTGTTATATATATACGTATACTAATACTATACGTTCATATTCTTTCCAAGATTAAAGAGCTGCCATTAAGGACTATCCATCTGGAGTGACACTCTTTGCAAAAGAGCTGTCAGCTCTGTAATGATAGCTTAGAAAGGGCGTGCCCTAATATTAATAACCATGTAACTAAGTCATTGAATGCTTCGACTGCTCATGCGGCATCGCTGCTCCAGTCCAGCAAAGAATTTCCATTGGGGCAGCTAAAGTTTCTCACATGTGTATTATCTAGAAACGATTTAAAAAATCTTTGCCCTTGTAGTTCCCGTACATACCTTACCGGACCTTATTTTGACGTTTGAGACACTAGCCGCCTAGCGTTCATTTTAATGTCCGTTTAAATAAAGGATGTCCGTTATGTCCGGACAGTCCGTCCCAGTCAAAATACGTTGACATTTTTTCCCAAAAGTATTCCACTACAAACTTTTTGTCCAGGACATATAATTACTATTTGAAGATATTTCATGTTATACAACAGATTTATTTTAACAACTGTGTGTTGCAGTTATGTAGAATTTATTGCAACGTTTCATCCATGACAAAGGTATTTAGCCGAAACGTCGACAACATCTTGTTAATTACACTGAGTGCCGAGTGGAGACTCTCACTTCGTCCCCAATAATCAAATATTATCCACCCAATTACAAGAACGAAAAGAGATATCTATGATATTGATCTTTATTGAAAATTCTCTACATTGTACTTATTATCAACTTTTAAACATTTTAAGATTCTTAAAAACAAAATTATGAACATTTTGTAATTATTGACAATAAAAGAGACGGATGTATCATGCAAAATTATTCATAACACAATGATATGGTCACTGAAATATATTTTGAACAAACAGCTTAACAAAATATCATCTTTATAGCTCAAAGAATAAATCCAAAAAAGTTGATTATTGTACCCATTTTATTAAATATTATACTTATAGCGTAACGACTTAGGTGAGAAAATCTATAAACTGAGGAATTATTCACATTTTACGCAAGGGGGTTTTAAAAAGTTATTTAAATTTCACGCAAATAATAAAGATACCATGCACAAAGAGCTTAAAATAATCCACAGTCCTTGAAATTGTTTCAATACAGCGAACTTATTTTCTTCCGACTCGAGATCTGTAGATAAAGTTTCCAATGTCAATTCCAAGTACTTCTTTTCTGTTCACATCGATTTGCATCAACTTTCCAGGTACCTTTACCCATCTTGTGCCTGTAGGGCTATCTGCAGTCATTCCCTCGCGGTAAAAGATTTCATTTTCACCAGTTACGCCAACAACAAGGTCCGTTCCTGAGCTAATCCATTTCAGTTTTCCTGGAACCTGTATCCAGATTGTTCCAGCAGTGTCGGCGTCACCGTACGTTCCCACTCGGTAGTAGATATCGTTTGCCAAAGTCACTCCCCACACCCCAGATTCCCCGACACTGATTTGTTTGAGGTTCCCGCCGATACGCTGCCATGAGCCGCCAGTCCTTCTGAAGATGTTCCGTCCTCTGTCCACTCCCCACACGCGATCCTTGTTGCTCACATCTACGTTTGTCAGCTTTCCGGGGATCTGTTGCCATTTGTCGTCTCCCAAGTACTTGTAGATTGCATCGGTTTTGGTGACCCCCCAAACAGATGCCCCAGATGAAACTTGTACCAATCCACCAGCGATTTTAGTCCATTTAAGCTGGTAGATGTTGTCATTCTTATCGACACCCCACACTCCTGAGTCTCCTTTCGAGATCTTGGTAAGTCGTCCAGGAATATTCTGCCAAACTGAGTGGATTAATTATTAGGTAAAGGTGGCTTATAACAAAACAGCCAACATTGTAAACAAGGATACAAAATACGTCATGACTTGCCTACAAGACATTTTTTCAAATTTATTCAAGTCTACAGTGATACGGATTGCTTACTTGTTTGCCCATGTGCTGCTATCAGAAAGCAGACAAGTACCACAATTACACACTTCATATCTATATTCCTTTAAAATAATGGGGTCAAGTTTAGTATATAATAACAGCTTTTAGAGTAATTTGTTTATACCTCAGTTTCAAAAATTTGTGTTTCAAACATTTTGTCGGACTGAAACAGTGGGGACGTCATAAATCATAACTCAATTTAGGAAGATCAGTGATATCTCTATAGGGTGAAAAATGACCGTAATTTCCACATTATGGCATATACACGAAGTTAATTCTTTAAAGGCCTCCCCAGCCTCGGATCTTAGGATTAGATTTGCAAAAATTCCTGAGGCACAGGTGCAAAAGTTAAGACATGCAAAAAATCCTAAGACAAAATTTAAGCAATTCTGAGACAGCGAAAAACCCTGAGACAAAATTTAAGAAATCCTGAGACAAAATTTAAGAAAACCTAAGACAGCAAAAAATCTTTAGATACAATTAATACAATAACCACAAGAATATGCATGGATATGATAAATACAATATTACTAGGTATAGTAGGAATGTCAATAAGTCCATAGAATTTGTCTGAATCCTCTGTGTGCCTGCTAATGAAGTGAGTATCCCAGATCATATCTTTACAGGTAGGACTGTATAATGGGGGCCCCGATGTTATAGCGGATATCATCTCCCCCCCCCCCCCCCCCCCCCCCCCCCCCCCCCCCCCTTGCCCCTCCTTAATCTGATTACAAGCTACCAAATATTCGAGAAATGAGATAGCTAGGTTTTCAGAAACAACTAAAAAGTCAATTTCGAGAGAATTTTGATGAAGACGGAAATTGGCATATTTAGGTGTCTAAAAAACAATGTTAACAGAGATCTAAAATTTGTTGGATACATACCGGACTCTAATTTTGTTCACGATAATTATCGTAAATCAAAAAACGGAGTGGGTGCCTTAAATTGATACAGTCTGGGCGAGAGTCATGAAAAAAATAAAGATTTGTTGAAATATCGTCCCAGAGTCTTAAACAAATTAAAACTTCAACTTTTAAAGAGAACTGAATGTTAGTGAACTGGAAGTGAAGCAGCTATATAAGGACAGCTGTGCTCAAAATATTTGGTCTCAACATTCTTCCTTTTCTGCTTACTTGTATCAGGATATATCTGTAGTCTTGTAAGCTTGTAGTTTAAGTGTAGTTAAACTGTGCTACACTTCTGTTTGTTACTATGATCTTTGAATAAAAAGAGTTTCACTGTAGTTTGCGTGCATCAAGATACCTTACTAGCTTGCATCAAGATACAACTTATAGTATGGTAGTTAAACTGTGCTACACTTCAGTCTGTTACTATGATCTGTTATAAATTTAAATTAAATTAAAATTTGTCACTGTTCAGGTTAAATAAGGCAGTCCAAAAACGAATTTCACATTAGTTTGCGTGCATCAAGATACCTTACTAGCTTGCATCAAGATATAACTTATAGTGTGGCAGGTAAACTGTGCTACACTTCAGTCTGTTACTATGATCTGTGATAAATTTAAATTAAATTAAAATTTGTCACTGTTCAAGTTAAATAAGGCAGTCCAAAAACAGAATTTCACTGTAGTTTGTGTGCATCAAGATACCTCACTAGCTTGCATCAAGATTTAACTTATAGTATGGTAGTTGAACTCTACTACACTTCGATCTGTTAATGGTCCATTATAAGTTTTAAAAGGAATTCAAAGTGGTTGAATACGAACTGAACTCATCTGACAGATATACTGATATAGTTTATTAAGTAGCCAGGTAGTGAAATTATAGGCATACAACTATTCTTACTGAAGCTTTCATATAGAAAAGGTTTAAGATTTAGCCGAGTTATGACCATTTTTGAATATGAGACGAGCTCACTGATTGAATGTGGGGACCACGTAACCAACAGATTTTATTTCTTTCAAATATCAAACTAAATGTGTCTAGACAATTTTGAGTTCCTAGCTTAAGGGGGGGGGGGGGGGGGGGGGGAATTTTTTTGTGAAACTTGGTTTCGAGATAGCAGTTGACCAACAAACTAAGACCTGTGGCCGAACTTTTGGGGGGTTCCGGACCCCAACCGCCAAACGGTGCCTGCGGGGCAGCCACGCCCATATTTGGTCCAAATTAGGCCCAATTTAGCCAAAGACCCTGAACGTGTCCAAAACCCAGGTTTTAGGTACTCTACTTGTAGCTAGTGGTCCCCTGAACTCGTATATGAATTTTCATCAAGATTAGACAAAAAATAACTGAGCTATGAGCCAAAAACCATATGCCCATATTTGGGCATCCATGCACCAAATTTGATTGATTTTGGCCCAAAATTGGTCAAATATCAATATTTTTAAATGAAACCAACTTTAAAATCAAATTTGCAGTGCAAAATTCAGAATTTGGCCGCCAAATTTTTTTAAAGGCCTAACTCAAAATTCCAATACAAAACTTAAGGTCAAAATGCGATTCTACGTTGATTCTGAAAATTTCATGTAAAAATATTGAAACCCTATTGAGTTCTATTGTTTTGAACGAAATCAGTTACGCAAATATCGCGAACTGAGATATGGACAATTTTGTTCATTTTTGCGATTATTTGAATATAGAATCCACAGCTCAGTTAGGTAGATACTGAGCTGATAATCGTAGAGAATGTGTAGTATAGTCTTACCTTCCATATAAAGTTGGTTTCATTTAAAAATATTGATATTTGTCTAATTTATGGGCCAAAATCAATCAAATTTCGTGCATATTATATGCCCAAATATGGGCATATGGTGTTTGGCTCATAACTCAGTCATTTTTTGTCTAATCTTGATGAAAATTCATATACGAGTTCAGGGGAGCACTAGCTACAAGTAGAGCACTAACCTGGGTTTTGGGCATATTCTGGGTATTTGGCTATTGGGGTGAATCAGGGTGAACCCCCCCCCCCCTCTGATTTTTTGTGAAACTTGGTTTCGAGATAGGACCGGTGACCGAACTTTTGAGGGGGTCCCCGACCCCAACCGCCAAACGGTGCCCACGGGGCAGCCACGCCCATATTTGGTCCAAATTAGGCCAAATTTAGCCAAATACCCTGAACGTGCCCAAAACCCATATATATGCCCATTTTTCTACACCTCTACACATTCTCTATGATTATCAGCTCATTATCTACCTAACTGTGAACTCTGTGTTCAAATAATCGCAAAAAATGAACAAAATCGCCCATATCTCAGTTCGCGATATTTGCAAAACTGATTTCGCTCAAAACAATAGAACTTAATAGGGTTTCGATATTTTGACATGAAATTATCAGAATCAACGTAGAATCGCATTTCGATCTTAAGTTTTAATATGGAATTTTGAGTTTGCCTTTTAAAAATTTTGGCGGCCAAATTCTGAAAAATGCCAAGCAAATTTTAGAATTTAGCCGCCAAGTTTTTTATTGTTTTGAGCGAAATCAGTTTTGCTTTGCAAATATCGCGAACTGAGATATGGGCGATTTTGTTCATTTTTTGCGATTATTTGAACAAAGAGTTCACAGTTAGGTAGATAATGAGCTGATAATCATAGAGAATGTGTAGTATAGGCTTACCTTGCATATAAAGTTGCTTTCATTCAAAAATATTGATATTTGATCATTTTATGGGCCAAGATCGATCAAATTTGGTGCGTATGCCCAAATATGGGCATATAGTTTTTGGCTCATAACTCAGTCATTTTTTTTTCGATCGATGAAAATTCATATACAAGTTCAGGGGACCACAAGTAGAGCACATAAAATCTGGGGTTTGGGCATGTTCAGGGTATTTGGCTAAATTGGGCCTAATTTGGACCAAACATGGGCGTGGCTGCCCCGCAGGCACCGTTTGGCGGTTGGGGTCGGGGACCCCCTCAAAAATTCGGTAACCGGTCCTAGTTTGTTGGTCACTTGCTATCTCGTAACCAAGTTTAACAACAAAAATCAGGGTGAACCCCCCGGCCCCCCCCCCCCCCCCCCCCCCCCCCCCTAAAGCGTTCTCATTTTATAACGACAACAGACAACAGTGAAAAAGAGGGAATGTCTTGAAAACTTTCAGGAAATCTAAGTTTTTGTTATTGTTGATATAGAGCTACTTGCCACTTAGGTCCAGGATCATTATAATATAATAATACCTTCGCTTTAAGGTACATCTTAAAGCAAGATAGCAAGATATCTTGAGCCTTGAAGCAAGCAAACTACAGTTCAATTCTTTTTTGGACTACCTTACTTAACTTGAGCATTTAATTTTAATTTAATTTAAATTTATCACAGGTCATACAATAGGTTTATATCACAGAGTGAGTTGTAGCAGAGTTTAACTAAACTAATAAATCTGACTTCTGAGCGTTAGTTTTAGATCACATCTCTCGTACAAACCATCTTAAAAACTCATAAATATAAAGTATAATCCAACTCTAGTTTAGCTGCTGCCTGGTTTCTAGTGCTATAATTTCGGAGACAAAACAGATACAATATTACATTAAATTTTAGTAGGTTATTGTAATATATAAGGACATGTTCAAACCTGGTTGGTGGTTTTGTTTCACTGCCAAAATGGGCGATTTTCTCATTTTTACAATAACTCCATTAATAATTACTCGATGGTCTTAAAACTTTCAGAGATGATTAAAATTGTGATAACAAATAGTCTCAGGTCATCGGCTATGAATTATAATAATTATTACTTAAAATCGCCTTCATAGTTCATACAAGCAACAAAACGACATTGGTCATGATCTATCCTATAGTGATAATGACCACAGTCCCATGCGACGAAGGAGAACCTGAAAATCCGATCGTTGGGTTCAGTTGTCGCATTTCCGATTTCGGTGCAGTTGTGATATGACCTGGGTTCAGTTGTCGTTTTGGGATTAAGCTGATGGGTCACCCAATTAAGCTGATTGGGTGCCTGTTAACTGCGTGGGAACTAGGCTCAATTGAGTTCAATTGTCGGTCACCCCTTTAAAGAAGAGTGGAGATTCCTTTGGAACAAGCACTGCTTGTTACAAGCAGGGATCAAACTTAAGAAACAATGTGATCACAGACCCCTGAAATTACACAGTTTCTGTTTCAGTGTTTTTGCCTGTATGTGTTCCGTGTTGAAATTATAACCAATTAACGAATTCCATCGAATCTCCGCTCTCATCTTAATTAAGTAATTAGTTAAAGAGGGCCTTAAAGAGCTATAATGAGTTCCATTAGAAGGCCGATTCGGAAAGACTGTTGTAAATGGAAACCTCGCAAAAACACTACGGATGCCGAGCATGACTTTGGCAGTTATGATAATCATACAACTTTTGCATCTTAGATTTGCACATTAAAATTATTTGCTAAATTTGGGGGAAAACGCCCAATAAGATGACCACATTTCGGGTTTTTAATGGTTTTGAATGTTTTCGAGCGTTTAGTTAACTCAAAAAAAAGTTCCAAATTATGTCCGTTTAAAATTATGTCCGTTCACGCAACGTCCGATAACGTCCGATAAGGTAGTCAACACCCTAGGGCCCTAGCAGCTAGCTACATAATATGAAGAATTTACTTCACTTCTAGATGCTGTTTCATTTAACAGAAACTTCCCAGGCAGCACAGTCTGAGAATATGAGGTTGGAGGTGGAGGGTGCGTTGGGAAGCATTGTTGATGAGGCCAGTAAACGGACTACAGATGAGGTGAGATGCTTAGGGTCAACACTAAAGTTTGATTTTTCATGTTTTTTAGATAATTTCAGGTTCAAATAATCTAATTAGATGTACGTATATAGTATATATGTGCACTGTTATTGAGTCAGAGTATCTTCCTCCTTCTCACAACTGATAGTTTTTATATTCATAATGATTAGCGATTAGTCCTAAATTTCTAATCCTCCAGGTGGAACGGATAAAGTCGGAGAGCAACAAAAACATCTCAATGTTAATCGGGGAGTGTGGGAAATATCAGGAGAGGATAGCTGAGTTGGAGGCTGACCTCGAGGAGGCAGAAAGGGTCCGGGAGCAACACCTAGGTACTGAAAATATGATCTTTACGGTGAAATTTAATAGTTTAAATTTATGACAATTTAACTGATACAATTACATGACTATTGTAGTTTTGCAACGCTGAAGGCTGGAAGAGTCGGGGAACCACCACCGAGGCTTAGTTTTTGGCAGTAAAAATGTGAAAACTATCTTGACGGTGAAATTAAATAGTTCGAGACAGTTAAACTCGTGGATAAATAACCATTTTGTTTCAGAACCACAATTAAAATGGTTATTTATCCATTGCTAATTAACAAAGATTAATCACATTATTCATATAATAGAAATTAGAAAGGTTCTTACTGAGCGGCGCGCGCTCAGCCTGTCATTCCGCTAATCTCTATTCATTTTATTATGAACATAAATTTCGCTGGATTGTACAACTTTCGTCTTGGTAGATTCCAAACACAAGGAAATTTTCCTTCTGGTTGGTAATATACTCAATGATGGGAGTATAGTGTATTGGCTATGCCCCGCTTACTAGTTTAGCTCTTTCTAGTCCCCTGCTACACGGCATGTAAACAGGGATTGGCTAGTTAGAGGCGGTCCGTGTAGGCCTTACACTGTACTTTCAGCAATACTCATAAATATAATAACCTGGGGTCTCCAGGTATAAGAAAGGTTCCTGCACATGCAGCTTTCCAATACAATAATCTTTTGTAATAAAGATAATAATCTTTATACTGTATTGTACTTAATGCGCATAATTTCAAAAATGCATCAAGTTAGAGCATCACCATTAGGGCATCATCGCACCTAACTTTTCTATGTCTGCATTGTTTCGGGTGATTCATCTTCATCAGTTAAGCTCAAAATGGGTGATCTCACTAACTCACCAACTCTGTTATCTGGATCTACCTTGATCTGGTGACTGCCTGGCAGTGGTTGTGGTGTACGTGGCTGCAGGATAGGCTCCTGCTCAGTGCCCACAACAGAGTTGTTAGGCAGAATACACACCCAAAGGTCAAGTAATACATTCTTGAAGGATTTCTGTCGAAGGAGAATGATGCTAGGATATCTTGGGATCTGCCAGCCCTTTTACTTGCAGTATCTGACACTGTGGGGAGGTGGAGTTGTAGTATGGGCCACATAAAGTGAAGGATAAAGAGAATGCGAGTGGGTAGGAGCTCCATATTACCACAGACACCAGGAAGTAAATGAAGGTTCTTCTGGCTGAGAACAGTTCCTTAACTAAAACTGTGTTCTTTCTGAGGTCCTGTGATTTTGTTACTGACCCTTCTAAAACCGTTCTCGAACCTTCGCTCCTGTTAGCCTTGTAGATGAGCTTTTGTAGCAAGAATAAACTAGTGGAGGTAAGAAGTGCACAGAAAATTATTAAACCCGTCACAGACGACACTCTGCAACTTCATCAAGCCTATCAAAACATCGCGACTTGCTTTTTTTAACCATAATAGAGCACGAGCATATCCAAACCCCCACTCCAGCTCCAAAAGACAGCACCCAACTACCAAGACAGAGCACTCTTATGTAAACAAGGCGTACTTTACGTTCGTAGAACAGTTTATACTTGAATATCATGACCCTGACCAGGGAGAGCAGGATTAACATGACGTAGGGAATGTTGATTATCCCACCGAATATCAGGTACAAGACACTGTTCCCATAGGTATCTAAACTGTTGTAGCCATGTCCGGTGATGCTGAAGTAACAGAGGGGGATCACGAAGCAGTTGATGATATCCACAGCTGCCAGATTCTTGTAAAGGAGGGCACATTTTTTGTCTATGCTTCTGTTTCTGCCGATGACCCAGAATAGCAGTGTGTTTAGGAATGTGCCGAATAGTCCTGTCAGGATTGCAAAGATATCCAATATCTTAGTCACGTTCATCCTCCTGGGCTTTCGTTAGAGATTACTTTTAATGTTTGAATTCAGGTCTGCTTGAGTATACGTATGAATGTTATCAAGTGTAACTATCAAATTGACTTTGATGCAGGTTTTGAATTGAACTTTACAAAAAGCAAGTAGGAAGAAATGAGCCAAAATATAATATCAGATAAGAAGCAGCACTGTTAGTATCAAATTCTTATGTCATCAGAACACATAAAATGTACTATGAAGCAATCTTTATCTACAATTCTTCATATCAACCAATTATCGCGTGTCACATAACTTTATGGCCCATTTCAATTACGTGTGGGTTGGCCGAAAGAACACGTAAGTCATTTTATATGGGGAGACAGTGGTTACCAGTGCAATGGTTACCAGGCCAAGAAGTTCGCCAAAACATTTAATTTCAAAACAAAAATGGATGTATTGAATATATTAATATTTGATTTCAGTGGTGCGGTCCCCAGACTCGGTCCTGCTAGCTGATAAGGATGCTGTTATCTACAAACTACGGGAACATGTTAAGAAGACCGAAGAAGATAAGACGAACCTTACGGACCAACTCTTGGAGGTGAGATTGTCTGTCTTTTGGTGTTTTTTAAATCGTCAGTTATAAAAACGAAAATTGCATCCTATTTTTAAGATAAATCAACGAAAATGTTAACCGATGGAAATTGATTCCGACGAAAAGTCTAGAACTGATGACTATTGACTATGCACGTGACACACAAGTCTATTATTACATCAGGCATTATTACTGATCAGTTAGTTAGTGTTCTAACAGCATGTATTATTACACGATTTACCATGGTTACAGGTGAGCAACACTCTACGAGCCAGCAAGGAACATTTTGAGAGTAAAATTAGGAGCTTAGAATTCCACGTATCTACCACCAAGGTAACTGAATTATGTTAATCAGTTATTTTTCCTTAATCCGTTAGTCGTTATCACTAGTTTTGTGTGATCAGAGGTCTGTGTTAATAAAACAACAATTTACAGTGCTCACTCCAAGTATGATTTAAATATCTGCCGTAAAACAAATGTGTCCTTAATTCTTTAATTAACAAATTAGTTAATTAATCAACAATTAATGAGTTGCCCACCTCTCAGGAAAAGTTAAACCGAACACAAGGAGAGAATCAGACGTTACTGGGCGAGTTCACGAACTGTAAAAGTGACCTAGAAACGTTCGAGACAGATCAGAGGACACTGCGGAACAAACTGTCCGATGTTCAGGCTGTGTTGGTTGCTACGGAGAAGCAGAATTGTCAGCAGCTCCGAGAGTGAGATCTTTATATTCGTTTACTGCTCGGTTAATTTATTGGCAATCGTTTAATCGGCTAATTGATTGGAAATTGGTTGATTTATTGGAAATTGGTTAATTTATTGGACATTTTCGATCAATAGTTGAGAATAGATATATATATTTGTGAAACGTTATCTTGGCGACAATTGGTGTCCCAAAAACATTAAGTTTGATTGACTTTGATTATTTCTTAAACTTAAGGAAATATCTTGTGCAGACTGCAAGAAGAAGAAAACCGGAAGAGAGAGGAGATGCGGGCAGACCAGCACAAGGTGGTGGAAAGTTTGAGGCAGACCATCGTCCAACAACAAAACGATGTAAGTATTTACTACTATTATAAGTGACGCAAAAAGAATTCCATCCCTCCTCTCCAGTTTGAAAAACGAATAAAACACAGTTATCCGGTTTTTTGAACTCACAATAAATGCAGATTCTGAAATAATTTCTGCACGATTGTAGAGCAAAGTGAAAAGTCTTCTTTTTGTTTTTGTTTTTTTCTCTTTTTTCTTTGGTTTTGTATCTTTTAATCTTTTTTTTGTTTTTATGATATGATGAGATAATTGAAATTATGCAAATGTAAAATATCCTCGTGTTATGAAATGTATCCATGTCTGTCCTTCTTTACTTGTGTTTCTTGAAAGGATGCGTCATCCAATTCAATCATTGGTCAACTAGTGGTTACTCCATTTCCAACCAGGTTTGGCTTTGTGTACTTGTTGTACAATATTTGTATGTCACGTGGTGTTACTTTCAGCTCACGTTATCTTTCCTCATAACGACACCGTTCTGTGGGTTTTTAGGGCTAAGTTAAAGAAAACTACTTGTTTAACAGTTCACCTACTCAAATAAGACTAATGTAAGATTTTAAATAAAATTGAATTCGTGTAAGACGCTAACCTGAATAAAGAAAGGATTCGATTTCAGAGGAGATTCATACAGGATAGCCCCGTCACTTTTTCGTTGAATTTGAAGGATAGGGTCTGGGCTCGGAGAATATTCTGCTATAAGAGCTTCGTTTTTCTTTTGGAGTTTTTTGTTGGCAATGATAGTCCAATAGTTAAGACTCTTAGGTTTGCCGAATATGGACCTCCTTTTCCTGACTGCTCCTGGTCGGAACATGATCTTCTTTGCATGTTTTGGCGGGGGAGTTTGTGTCGCTAATCGAGCGTTCTTATTTCTTGGTTGTTGACGCCGAGCAGTCGCTAATGTGGACTTTGCTTCTGGACGTCGGATCTTTGGATCGTTGAGCTGGGACGTGGCAGAGAACTTTTGAGGGGCCAGTGTCACTTTATTAGGTGAGAGTTTGGGAAGACACTCTTTAGGAGGCACTGGGGTGACAGGAGAGGGGTTTGGTGGGAGGATGGTGGGAGTCGAGGATGTAACATCATCCCTTTCCACTTCGATACACAGCGAGTCTCCCTTATTTTCTATTTTCAGGGTCTCTTCTATCGCAGTATTCCGCACAGTCTGGTCCGTTTTCCTTTTTTCCGTCAATCTTCTTTCCCTCGCAGACGACAGCTTATTAGCTTTGGTAAGCTTGGATCTGGTGATTACAGGATGAAGATTCGCTGTACACAGTATTTCGTCTAAATCGACAAGAACTCTTTCGGCTTCTGATTGTACTTCCTGGTTCTTAATCTTGTGTTTAGGAGGTGGTCTGCGTGAAGGTTTCTTGAAAGATTTCTTTGCTGTAATCTCCGGGCATACAATTGGCGATGTTTCTTTATTTTCGTATTGTTCCATCTTCCGTGGATCCCGACCAATCTCCTCCATTTTGTGACCAGATGTTTCATTGTCTAGCTTCTCTTCACCAAAAGACAATGAAACGCTATCCGATTCTTTGAATTCGTATGGTGACCATTTTGCTTTTTCGTCCCCGGAAATGAAAACGAGTTCACCAGGTTCAAGATCCTGAGGGATAAACTTGTATTTGTTGGGCCAGATGAGCTTCTTCTGATGTTTGGGGAAAGGATAGTGACACTTTACCACCTCTCCTGGGCTCAACTCCGTGTCTGATACGTCCATGGCCGGGTAAATCTGAAACAAACTTGTGGATAACTTGTCTAATTTAAGCATTTTTTTTGTCCGTCAAATTTAGTAATTTAGAAATTGGGGCGTTAAAATTAGTCAGAGAAATGTGATCATGACCGTCCTAAAAAGGGGAGGACTGTACCTTTAAAGTAGTCCCCTTGTTCCTCTCGTTACGGCTTCTCAGGGTTCGTCTTCTTCGTTTTCTTTGAGAAACTTTCTCCATGCTGGTCATCTTCGCTAGCGGGTGTTCTTTTTGAGCTTCCTTCAGTCTCATAAGCATACGCTGCTTGTGATAGTTCTTTGGTTTAAAGTCGATCTGACTATGTGATTTTACTATTTCTTGATCTTCTTCTGGTTTCATTTCTTCCCGTAGTCCACTTTCGAGATCTTTGTTAATGCTGTTATCTCTTTCTAAAAGTTTTGCTAGTTCTGAAAGCTTTTTCGTGGTCTTTACAAAGAATCCGACCATCAGACATGCTAGCAGGATGGCAGATAAAACGGCTATGAAACTGAGTATAAAAGCAACTTTTATTGCGGAGTCATCGGATCCGGCGATTTCTAGGACTTCCGCAACAGGCGATGCCGCAGTAGAATTGCTGTTGCTGATATTCTGATACAGTGAACGTGGAACTGGAGCAGCGGAAAGCGGCACTGTGAGTGCCCAGATGAAAAGGATAATCCTGGTCATCGTTAAATAAAAATGTGTTTTTGAAAGTTTGCTAATGTATTACTGTAAACAGAGATTGTAACGAATGTTAATGGTAAAGAAAGAATTTGATTGCGTGTAAAAGACACCGTTAACAGTGAAATAAACTGCGCCATGGTAACCACGACGCCCACGTGTCGAATCGCGCGACGCTATCTCTATGATTAGTGTGCCTTGCGCGCTGATTTAACCAGATTTACTAGTTGACGAATGACGACTCTATTTTTTCTTTTTTTCTTTTTCCGTTTTTTTTCTTTGGTTTTAAAACCTGTGGGACTGGAGGAGAGGACCCCCTAAAGCCCTAAAAATGCATACCATAAAAACAAAAACAAGCGATCTAAAAGTCTAAACAAACATGTAATCAACATTATACGTGGAATTTTGCTAGATTAAATAAAACATTCCCTCCCCCTGTAATTTAAATATTTGTCCGATTAACATAAACCCAGGCAGCGAGAATCGAGATACAAGTATTACATTCATGACTGTATATTGTATAACCTTATAACTAATACTATAATCTCCTTAATATTCAAGCTTCATCACTGCCAGAAAAGTTACTCGACTTTCACCAAATTTCTCTCTATTCAAACTTTCATTAAACCATGTTCCTTCTAATCCAGTCAACGTAAAACAGCACATCAACACTCATATCAAAGTCATAAAGCCCCTCAATTCCAGTCCTCCGGGGAGTATTCCAGCTCACCAGGGATACCAGGGTCCAAGTTCCGTTATCCTGGACAAATAGTGGACCTCCGGAGTCTCCGTACCAGAAGCGTTGTTTTTCTAGTGGTGGTGTCCCTGTACAGAGCATTCCGTCTATCCAACCTGATGCGATCGTTTCTTCAACAACCTGGTGTTTTAATGTTAAATTTAACTATTTAATAGCAGAAGAGGATAAAATGTTTAGGAAGAGAATAAAAGATATTTGTTTTGGGGATTCACATCACTCTATACTGACTAAAGATCCCCTACCGGACCCCCCCCTCCCCTCTACGTAACATTTCATTACCGATGCGGGGATACCGCTCTCTTCTGCCAGTTCCAGTCCAACTCCTTTCCAATAGCTCAGACACGTACCCTGATCAGGTAGGACCTGTTCCACTTTCTGCAGCGTGTTTAGTCTACTCCCATCACCCATGTCGCCCCACCCTGTTATAGTGATAGTGGTCCCTTCCTCGTAGATACTCCTGTCAGTGGGCAGGGAGATAACACTGTAACCACTCTCCTCTAACTCTACCTCCTCTAATATCAGCAAAGCGATGTCGTTAAACGGCTCGTTAAACGTTCCATGGTGGAAATCCTCGTGCACTATAATCTGAGATACCCCCATCCTCCTCTCAATGTCTCCTGTCTCGTTCAAAGCGTAGTCCCCTAAAGTAACAACAATATTATCTGGATCAACCCACTCCACACAGTGAGCTGCAGTTAGGACGGTGCGGGAAGAGATAAGGGATCCGCCACACCAGTGCGAGTGGGGTCTGTAGGATGAGAGACGTGCCTGTGCGGGACGAGGGTGAAAATATTGATCGCCACCCAGTCATATAATTATTTTAATTAGATCTTCTGGTATTTTGTGGCAAAATTCTGTATTTCAATGGTGTCCGCCGTCCGTTCATACCTAATTTTGGAGAACTACTTACCATGAATGGAAATTCTCCTGGCTGTGTATCTTCTGAATTAATAAGTGAAGCAATTTCTACCACCAACATCAGGAGAAGCAGCGGTGTACTCATTATCCGGACCTGAAATAGAATTTTTGTATGTTTTCTGTCCTCAGACGTTCGACATATTATCTCAAACTCCATTCGCCTGAGCCTTTGTCCTCTCTTACATACTCAATACTTCCTTTCCGACTCATGTTTCATTTTCTTGCTCCCCTCAACAAGCCCAATTGAAATTAGGATCCCTTCAAGACACTTCTTTGCTGTTTTAGTCAAATTGGAAAAGTTAACTTTGAGTAAGAATCACTCACCATGGTCACGTGACGAAAGCAATATTCCAGTTATCGATAAACTGTTAATAGGAACAACAAGTAAAGTAATAGGTCTATAGGTACAAATAAAACCAGTGGTTATCTCAAACGTATAGAGAGTGATACAGGAAGAATCTGTTCAACAGAAATAGTCCCCGACAGTCTCTCTCACTGCCTTCAAATACTACTATTCACGTGACACATATGCCGGTCACGTGATAAGATCTTAAACTAATATCATCCAAAATAGGGTACAACTAAACATGTCAATCTGTAGAGTAAACAAAAGAAGTGACAATTAAGCCTAATTAAGGAAAGTGCGGTGGAAACAGCTTGCTAACCGTGTGTAATGAGGTATAGAACTAAAGGCCAATAAAATATAGGAAGATTAACTAGTAGTATAAAATGACGAGTACACTCGTGAAAGGAGAGTACACTATTTAAAGATCAAAGAACCATCGAATAAAAAACACAAGTTCCAGAGAGGGCCACAGGTGAAGATAAATTGTTTTTTTAGCAGATGACAAATTGGAACAATATTCTGATAAAATTAATTGCCTTGCTATGATTTAATTATATTTTTGGTCATGAATATGTGAGATGAAATATTGGCAAAATTAGATTTCATAAAACTTTTATTACGGTAGGTTGTTGAACAATGAACCTGAAATAGAATGAAACAATATCTGCAACTTGATAATGTGTGGCAAACTCTCTTATCTTAACCTCTTTTTTTAACGCTGATTCCGATACACCACACATGACGTTACAATGCTTCCCTAACGACCGTTTAAACTTGAAAATTAAATAAATAACAAGTTATTAAACCCCAGGTTAACCGTTTACAAGAACAACAATCCCACACGGCCCACCAGCTGTCCTCCCAACAATCAGACCTCAACTCCACCATCAGCTCCCTCACCAAGAAACTCCGAGACCGGACCACTCAACAGAAACACGCTGTATCAGACCTTGAAAAACTGCGCTCTCAACAGGACCATGATAGAGAGAAAAACTTTAAAACAGAGTCTCGTTTAAAAGCTGTGAACATGCAGCTGGCGTGTGCTAACAACCAAGTTGCCATGGTAACGGAGAATGAGGCTAAGTTGTGTAGCAGGATAAAGGAACTACAGCTCAGGATTGATCAGTTAGAGTTTGATATTGAGAGGGGGAAGTCGTCTCCTGGAGGGGTTCTCAATCACTCTAGTGTCGGTTGGTATTTTGTATTTTGGTTTATTAATCAATCATCAATTTGTAAGCCTCAGGCCAAAATGCCTTGAAAATCTTCAAGATATTTAGTATTTACGAAAAGGAACAAGTGATATTAGTAAAGAAGTAGACGTTTCGTCACATATTTGCCTAAATAATTGTCAGAGTTTTTAAAACTCTGATACCGGAAGTTCTGATGCTCTGATAATGTTATATTACCTACGATTATCTATGATTATCCAGGTAATTATCAGTAGTTAATATAATATGATATAACCATATTCACCAGGAAATCTGATCGAACAACCATTTGTACCGCTTCTGACTTCGAAAGATAGGAGCAAATCCAGTAGAAAGCATGAAAAGAAGGACAGAAAAGAAAAAGACCAAATCAACCAAATATTTTCATCCGATATCATCAGGTGCGTCTTGTTTTGTTATTCAGATCGGGTCTCCTATGCGAAACAGTCGAAATTTAATCCGTCTAATTTACGCCAGTAAAGAGATATTATTTATTCGGCTCTGTTTTTACACCTTTTTTAATCTTAAACTCATTTAATTAGTACTTACTAGCAATAAAACTGAGCTTCTTCAATTTTAATGGACAACTTGGCGAACATGGCCATGGATCATCCTCCGTTTTTAGGGTATCAAGCACATTAAACCCTGCATTATAGTTATACTAGTCATGTTATTATTAGAGACTTTCCTGATTGAGCAACTCATTAAAATCATAATCACATTCTCATACCTGTCATCTTTCAAATCAATCCCGTAATTTCAGATCATAGCTATGCTAAGCTTATTCTTTCATTGATCATTCACACCAGGCAAGATTAGTTTTACTTGTTTGCTTGTGTGATTTTGAAAACAAAATACTTTTTAAATCTTCACAAATTTGCCGCTTATTATATAAACTCTAAATGTCCACTGTTAATTCTAAAATACCACCCCCAGGTCCACCAGGAAGGATAAAAGTGCTGCCAAGAACCGTAAAGCTACCAGCACACCAGTACCACACACTGATAGGAGTGACACGACCATAAAGTTTACTGATAACAATTACCCTGAGGATATCAGCAGGATTAATGAGGGGTGAGGGACGGAGTTATTGGAGTGACACGACCATAAAGTTTACTGATAACAATTACCCTGAGGATATCAGCAAGATTAATGAGGGGTGAGGGACGGAGTTATAGGAGTGACACGACCATCAAGTTTACTGTTAACAATTGCCCTGAGGATATCAGCAGGATTAATGAGGGGTGAGGGACGGAGTTATAGGAGTGACACGACCAAAAAGTTTACTGATAACAATTACCCTGAGGATATCAGCAGGATTAATGAGGGGTGAGGGACGGAGTTATAGGAGTGACACGACCATAAAGTTTACTGATAACAATTACCCTGAGGATATCAGCAGGATTAATGGGGGTGAGGGACGGAGTTATAGGAGTGACACGATCATAAAGGTTACTGTTAACAATTGCCCTGAGGATATCAGCAGGATTAATGAGGGGTGAGGGACGGAGTTATAGGAGTGACACGACCATAAAGTTTACTGATAACAATTACCCTGAGGATATCAGCAGGATTAATGGGGGGTGAGGGACGGAGTTGTAGGGGTGACACGATCATAAAGGTTACTGTTAACAATTGCCCTGAGGATATCAGCAGGATTAATGAGGGGTGAGGGACGGAGTTATAGGAGTGACACGACCATAAAGTTTACTGATAACAATTACCCTGAGGATATCAGCAGGATTAATGAGGGGTGAGGGACGGAGTTATAGGAGTGACACGACCATAAAGTTTACTGATAACAATTACCCTGAGGATATCAGCAGGATTAATGGGGGGTGAGGGACGGAGTTATAGGAGTGACACGACCATAAAGTTTACTGATAACAATTGCCCTGAGGATATCAGCAGGATTAATGAGGGGTGAGGGACGGAGTTATAGGAGTGACACGACCATAAAGTTTACTGATAACAATTACCCTGAGGATATCAGCAGGATTAATGAGGGGTGAGGGACGGAGTTATAGGAGTGACACGACCATAAAGTTTACTGATAACAATTACCCTGAGGATATCAGCAGGATTAATGAGGGGTGAGGGACGGAGTTATAGGAGTGACACGACCATAAAGTTTACTGATAACAATTGCCCTGAGGATATCAGCAGGATTAATGAGGGGTGAGGGACGGAGTTATAGGAGTGACACGACCAAAAAGTTTACTGATAACAATTACCCTGAGGATATCAGCAGGATTAATGAGGGGTGAGGGACGGAGTTATAGGAGTGACACGACCATAAAGTTTACTGATAACAATTGCCCTGAGGATATCAGCAGGATTAATGAGGGGTGAGGGACGGAGTTATAGGAGTGACACGACCATAAAGTTTACTGATAACAATTACCCTGAGGATATCAGCAGGATTGATGAGGGGTGAGGGACGGAGTTATTGGAGTGACGCGACCATAAAGTTTACTGATAACAATTACCCTGAGGATATCAGCAGGATTAATGAGGGGTGAGGGACGGAGTTATAGGAGTGACGCGACCATAAAGTTTACTGATAACAATTACCCTGAGGATATCAGCAGGATTAATGAGGGGTGAGGTACGGGGTTATAGGAGTGACACGACCATAAAGTTTACTGATAACAATTACCCTGAGGATATCAGCAGGATTAATGAGGGGTGAGGTACGGGGTTATAGGAGTGACACGACCATAAAGTTTACTGATAACAATTACCCTGAGGATATCATCAGGATTAATGGGGGGTGAGGGACGGAGTTATAGGAGTGACACGACCATAAAGTTTACTGATAACAATTGCCCTGAGGATATCAGCAGGATTAATGAGGGTTGAGGGACGGAGTTATAGGAGTGACACGACCATAAAGTTTACTGATAACAATTACCCTGAGGATATCAGCAGGATTAATGAGGAGTGAGGGACGGAGTTATAGCTTTAGTGTTTAGTCACCAATCAGATGCCAAATATTCTAAAATAATTTTATTTGGTGATTGATACAAGATAATCGTATTTTACTCATTTAGAATATTATTTCATGATAAAAATGATTTTCACAGGATAATTTTGCTGACTGTTGAGTATATTTGAGGTGACAGTTGCAATAGAATGTCTATTTGCATGTACGACCTTATTAATGTCATCATGATTGACCCAAGTCTCAAATTAAAAATAAAACGAATGTTTAACAGTTTAACTTAAGCCTCACTCTTCTGTAACACATTTGACTGATACACTTACACATAATACTTATCGACTATTGTGTATAAATAAATTGAGTGATCTTAAATTTTAAATAGCCGTTGAGCTAGACGGCGCACGTTTTTAGCCCTAACATTTTCAATCTTTAATTAGGAGTAATTAATTAATTAGGAGTATTCATAGCAAGGATTTTACCAAAACCCATAATCATGGGTAGAGTGGACCGCTGTCAGTGTCTCTCTTTCCCAAACAAAAGGAAATGATATTAATTTGATTGACCGTTCTCAAATGCAAAATGATACCGAGAATGAAATCGGTCGCTCGCTTTTCCCATTCATTCACGGCTTACGAATTGTATAATTAAGTTTCGATTGATTACATCAATCAGATGCTGTAAAACTCTCTTTGGGTTGCGTTCGGGTCGATACCTAGTATTTCGGGGTAAGGGACAAGGGTGGTAGTTATTACTTATCGAACAAGCTGAAGTTTATTGAATCTTCATTGCCGAGTACAGCTGCCTTTGGGTAGTTCTTCTTAGTCTATTACAATTGTAAATGAATGGGAAAAGCGAGCGACCGATTTCATTCTCGGTATCATTTTGCATTTGAGAACGGTCAATCAAATTAATATCATTTCCTTTTGTTTGGGAAAGAGAGACACTGACAGAGGTCCACTCTACCCATGATTATGGGTTTTGGTAAAATATCATCTCTTTTTGATTATAATGTCAGGGTACTTTATAAAGTCGAAATATAAACTGATATCTTCATTAATAAGGAGGAACTTTCAACGATTTCGAAATTTTTCCTTTCAAAACATATCCTTGTGTTTAGGGAAGCATTTCGGTCGATCACTGACTGAATATGCCACTTACATGCCACTCATTCAAGTTGGCATTAAATTCATATATAATGACATTAAACAGTCGTGGCAAAGCAGAATTTATTGGAAATCACGAATGAGCAAAATTCTCACCTTTCGCACGTGCAAACTTTGAGCGAACGTTGCGTGCGCATCCAATTTTGAATCGCCGTAAATTCTTGCATGTAATTGTTTTATATATAGCTTGATAAGCATGCAAAGTTTCAAAGTATTTCAAGAAGAACTGTAATCACAACGGCACTCTGAAGTTGACAGAAAATGACGAAAACAGCAATTTTCAGTGATTTTAGCAATTTTCTATCAATTTGGGCGTGTCCCCACGTGTGCAACTTTTCGATTTTCAACTTTAAAACTAGCCTAATGCACAATTTATACATAAAGGAAGCAGAACTAAGCTCCTCAACCCAAGGCATGGCCCAACACCAAAGAATACTAAATCGCGTAATTGACGTTTTTATGAAATAATTCTTCAAAAAAGCACAAACTTCAATGACGAATATCTTTATGAAGGAGCAAGCTAGAAAAACTTTCCGGTAGATTTTCAGAATGCTTGAACAATTATCTAAGGTGAAAATTTCCTCAGATTTTGAATAAAATGACTCCTTAATAGTTTAAATTTAATTTTAAAAGTTATTACTTTGTCAAAAATCAAGTTTTAAAAACGGCTAACTCGATGACGTCATCAAGGGGTGTTTATGACATCAAATAATTTTTTATACAATGTAAACTAAAGTATAAACAATTATTTGCAAGACCTGTGGTCGGAAATGGCTGTATCTTTTATACTTTTGAATCTATGGACACTTAAATACAGGCTACAATTGACTGGCAAAGCGTCTATCCCTGAATATCACAGTGCTGGCAAGCACGACCGTTGCATTTATTGTGGGTATACTATGTTCCCCATTTACTATTATACCCCCTTTACTATTATACCCCCTTTACTATTATACCCCTTTTACTATTATACCCCCTTTGGTACACGTTACAAGCCTCTTTTGTGCACGCAAAGCGTGCACTCCGGCCGGAGGCGGCCGAAGGCCGCCGCCTCCGGCAGGAGTTTTCCAGGCATTAAGACTCATCGGAAGTCGTTCAGCAGATTTATTTTTAGTTCAAACATTCTAATTTGATGTCAAAGATGACAGGAATAAAAAATAGTTATGTTCAGATTTTTAAGAAATTTGCATAAAATACTCGCCAGCACTGTTATACGAAATTCGGTAAAAAACCCAAAATCGCCATTTTCAGGTGCCCTAAAAACCATGTTAAAATTGAGTTAGAGATCTGAAATTTTTCAGGGCGTCTAGACGTTGACCAAATTGACTGCAAAAAAAGTTTCAGGTTTCAGGAGCATCGGGAAATGGGTTTTCTAGAACCCCTGTTTTACGACAGATTGTCGGGACATATACATACATATATACATATATATTCAGGGATAGACGCTTTGCCAGTCAATTGTAGCCTGTATTTAAGTGTCCATAGATTCAAAAGTATAAAAGATACAGCCATTTCCGACCACAGGTCTTGCAAATAATTGTTTACACTTTAGTTTACACTAGCAGGAACCCGTCTAACCCTAAAGTGGTGTCAAGACTCAAGAGACTAAAATAATTATTACCTATTTAATTCGCGTTTTTGACACCACTTGGGGTCCAAATTTTGGGCTCTAAAACTCCTATTTCTTGTCCAATTTTTTATTTTTTCATGCTGATTTGAAGGCCATTAAAGCATTTGACCCAGTCAAAAAAGTTTCAGTTGTATATCTTTTACGGTTTTTGCGGAAAGTCGTGTTAAAGTTGATGCCGTGGTGTCAGTAAAATGGCACGGATAAATAAATATATATATATCGTCTCGCTTTATATATAGTAAGATTGTATAAAAAATTTATTTGACGTCATAAACACCCCTTGATGACGTCATCAAGTTAACCGTTTTTAAAACTTGATTTTTGACAAAGTAATAACTTTTAAAATTAATTTTAACCCATTAAGTAGGTAGTGCGCCATCGACAGTGAGCCGCGCGTGCCGACTGTAGGATGGTTTTTTAGCGCTAATTTCGGCCAGCACAATTTTCTTCAAACAAATAAATATTAAGTATCCTTCCCGACCTCCGATTGCTATAAAAATTGGTAAGCTTACTCATATTCTTACAAGGAAGGTGTCCGAAAAGTTTAAAGCATATCCAACCATCAGACATTATGTTACAGCTAAAAGCAGCGTATTTTGCCCCATTTTGATCACTATATCAACTCCGATATCCACCAAATTTTTCGGACAGTTGTAAAAGCCCTATTGGAAGTTCGTCGCCAATTTTCAGAATGATATCATTCAAGGAACTGAAGATATATCCAAATAATACGACAAAAATCAACGAATTTGGTCAAATTAGGTCAAATTACGCGACTTTTACAGCTAATTTTGCTCCAAAAGCCGCGCACCATCAAATATGGCACCTAAGCGAAACTCACTGATCTTTCCAAAAAGGTATAACAAATTTGGTATTGTGAAAATTCTCACAGTCTCTAGAAAACAATGGTACAAAAATTTTTAAAATCCGAGCAAGTTTATTTTTATGGTGCACCCCCTACATTAAGGAGTAATTTTATTCAAAATCTGAGGAAATTTTCATCTCAGATAATTGTTCAAGCATTCTGAAAATTTACCGGAAAGTTTTTCTAGCTTGCTCCTTCATAAAGATATTTGTCATTGAAGTTTGTACTTTCTTGAAGAGTTATTTTATAAAAACGTCAATTTTGCGATTTAGTATTCTTTGGTGTTGGGCCATGCCTTGGGTTGTGGAGCTCAGTTCTGCTTCCTATAGGTATAAATTTTGCATTAGGCTAGTTTTAAAGTTGAAAATCGAAAAGTTGCACACGTGGGGACACGCCCAAATTGATAGAAAATTGCTAAAATCACTGAAAATTGCTGTTTTCGTCATTTTCTGTCAACTTTAGAGTGCCGTTGTGATTACAGTTCTTCTTGAAATACTTTCAAACTTTGCATGCTTATCAAGCTATATATAAAACAATTACATGCAAAAATTTACGGCGATTCAATATTGGATGCGCATGCAACGTCCGCTCAAAGTTTGCACGTGCGAAAGGTGAGAATTTTGCTCATTCGTGATTTCCAACAAATTCTGCTTTGCCACGACTGTTTAATGTCATTATATATGAATTTAATGTCAACTTGAATGAGTATTAAGTGGTATATTCAGTCAGTGATCGACCGATATGCTTACCTAAACACAAGGAAATGTTTTTAAAGGAAAAATTTCGAAATCGTTGAAACTTCCTCCTTATTATAATGAAGATACCAGTTTATATTTCGACTTTATAAAGTACCCTGACATTATAATCAAAAAGAGATGATAGTTTACCAAAACCCATAATCATGGGTAGAGTGGACCGCTGCCAGTGTCTCTCTTTCCCAAACAAAAGGAAATGATATTAATTTGATTGACCGTTCTCAAATGCAAAATGATACCGAGAATGAAATCGGTCGCTCGCTTTTCCCATTCATTTACAATTGTAATAGATTAAGAAGAACTACCCAAAGGCAGCTGTACTCGGCAATAAAGATTTAATAAACTTCAGCTAATGCAATAAGTGATGGGGGGGGGGGCCAACCATATTAAAGTATATTAAAGTATATCCCCGGGTCAAAATCGGAAAAAATCCTACATTTTAATATACTTTAATATACCTACAATTAGGGGATTTATATTCTTCGTTAAGATTTACATGATGAACTATATTTTTCACTCAGATTCGCAAGATAAGCCTGTTTTAGGACTAGTACATGAATTTCCATCCAGATTGGTCAAAAATTGGCTGAGCTATGAGCTTTTAAAAATATGCCCATATTTGGGCATACGCTTTTGCCCAAATTCGCTTCTGCCCAAATTCGATAAAATTTCAATATTTTTTAATGAGACTAACTCTATGTGAAAGATATAACTCAGTGTTTGTTGAATATAGTGGATACTAAGTAAAAAGACCTACATGAACAAAATTGGGAAAATTGCACATAATATCTCGGTTCGGAATACTAGCCAAAATGACTTCATTAAAATTGAAATAACTCCATCAGTTTTCAATATTTTTTCAAGAACTTTTTGGAATCGATTAAGAATTGCATTTCAAGCCAAAGAGATTTTTACAGCATCTGA